TTGGTGATGGGAAACCTGCGGGGATTACAATCGGGATGGAAAAAAAAATGTACAAAATGATGTAAAAATAAACTTTTGTAATAAAAAAAAATGAATTTGCTTTTCCTTTATATTGCGGCAGCATTGGTTTACAACACTGGATATAATTCAGAACTACAGGATCACACCCAGAGGTGTAGGTTACCATCCCCACTCCCCACTAGGAAAATGGGGTGACGGGCGGGATGTGCAATATGGGCTACAGAGTGAGGTTGTTTCTATTTCTCTTCTTGTAAGGGTCTTCCCGCTTTTTTCCCCTCCTGGTGCTACCGTAAACTGGTCACCCATTTAGTTGTTTTCTTGTTCATTTTTTAAACATCCATTCATTGAATCTTTAAAGGAAACATTTAGCTACTGCGATTGGTGTAATTAAAGTGGTTGCATAATAGAAAGGAAACAAGCCAGGAGTGGAGACTTCATTTCTAAAGACGGATTTGAAGCAGACTAAGACTTATTTCAGAGTGGGTCATGAAACTCTTCTCTATACCCTTTCATTGCTATGACGACAAGCTGCTCCTGCTACATGTAGCCAGAAAAAGCAGCTGACATTTCAATGCTAGGAACACAGGGGAGAGGGTGACAAAAACAAAAAACAAAAACTGAGCTCTTTCATTCGAATTTCAGTTGAAAGTAAAAAATCCTTGCTAACGCAAGTCAAAACCCCTATTCTTGCTTTTAGAAAAGATAAGAAAAGAGAAATGTTGGAGGCCCTCTCCCTGGTCCAAGTAGGCCAGTTAAACAGAATTGACTGCAAAGTAGCATTTTGTCTCTCTTCTTAATAGCAATCTGAAACAGAAAACTCTCTTTGGTTTCGTTTGACTTGGCCATTAAGAAGCAACTAATTGATGAAGCATAAAGAATACTATACTTCATGTTGAGACCCTCTAGGGGAACCCAGTAGTATCAGATTTATTTTTCCATTTCATTGGATATAAAGGAACAAAGAATTTAAAGAATATTTTCTTCTTGATCCCCAATTTTACTACCAGAAAGGTCACTTGGATTGCATAACTGAAACCTTTCTCACTAATACATGAGATTTCTTGTAAGGAATCAGAAAATCTCCTGTGTGTTTAGTATACTCTGCCAGATATTAGGCAAGGCATTTAACTAACCAACATCTTATTTAATTCCTATTTCAATCCCATTTGAGAGTATTCTTATCATTATTTCCACAAAATTTGGGTAAACTGAGTCTAGGAGGCTTGACATGACTGTCTGAGTTCACAGTGAGAGAGAGCCAGGATTCAAACCCACGTGTGTTACATTCTGAAATCCATGCTGTGTTCACACCACAGTGCTGATATGAACATAGACCTAACATAGACACACACACATGCACCTACACAGAGACTTACCCCAGCCCCCAGCAAAATATGGAATACAAGGAAGGATAGATACCCTGAGGAGTAACCTAGAGTCAATTCCCTTTCAACCTGGTATCAGTTGGGATAGGTAGGCCACTAATGCTTTCAAATTAACTGTGATTATTGATTACTTCCTGTATGCCAGACTTGGCTATTTCTTCACTCAGTTCTTAGAACAAATCTCTGCTATAGTAATTAATTTTATGATCCACACTTTCACAAATGGGGGGACTAAGATTCAAAGAGTCATTTGCCCAAAGTCATAGAAGTTGGTAAAACCTAGATGTAAACTAAGACTGTTTCCAGAGTCCACAATCTTAACTTTTTTTTGGGGGGGGGGCAAAAGATATTTTAATGTTTTATTTCGTTTGTTACTTCCCTATATTCTGAATTTATATAATTGTACTGCCTCCTTTCATGTTTGGTTTGAGGTATTTTATTTTCTCCATTTCTGTTTTGTGTATTTACAATCCCAGGCCCCAATTTCTCTCACCCGTGAGACATGTGTAAGGAGTGGAAGCAGGTATAGGCCACGCGCTTACTCACTTTTAATACCATCTCCTGATGACTCGTCAAGACCGCACACTGTTTCTGTGAGTTCTGTCCATCTTTTGATGTCTAAAACAAAAGTAGCTAGCTGCTACCTATGGTGCCACCATTGCAGACTCATTAATGGTGGAAGGTAGCCCATGTAATCCCTGATATGTAGGTATCAGTCTAGTTGGGCAGCTTTTGGACAGCCAGGCCTACTGTGGAAATTGTCTTAGAATTATGGGGTCCGCTATTCTTCTACATTCGGTTGTTTCAATGTTGTTATGTGAGGGTATGTTCTTGGTGGAAAAGGATTTCCAATATCTTATGCAGATTGTTGCTAACCTTAACAATTTTTGTACTGTTAAATATAAACTGAGCAAAAGCAAGAAATAGTGAAGAGGAAACTAGATGAGTAATGTTTTGCAGTAGTCTAGATACATTATTAACTAATTCACTTCTATCATCACTAATATTTTTATTTGATTGATAAGTGGAACTTGCATGTGAGACTATTGGGGGTTAAATACCAAAGAGCCTGGAAAGGAAACCCCAGTACTTTAGCTGCTAACTGGTTATACAGAAATTCCCTGTAAGAAAACATTCATTAATAACATATACATATTTTTTTCTAAAATGCACAAAGTAGCGTTAGTCGATGGGGTGATAAACAGATGAAATAACATTGTTTTGCTAGATCTGTTTGAATGAGCAGAAATATAAACTTAATTCTTTCCTACGATGAGTGTCCTTTAAAAAATATATAACTAACAATAGTTATAACCATCAAGATTTAGCTGAATAAACTGTGAACTGAAAAAAAAAAAAAAAAGCCTGTAATCCACGAGAAACGAGAGAATTAAAAGAAAGATTTCTGCTGAGTTGAACTGAGTGAACGTTTCTAGTCTCAGGGTATGTAGGCTTTGTGCCAGAAGAGGGCTCAGCTCAATGCCAAGGTGACATATTTAACCTCGACAGATTAAAGGCAGAGCAAAAGAGATACTCTTCCTGCAGTACCTCTTGGTTATGTGTCAGTAGTATTGACCTGCAGTGGCAAGCAAGGTTTTCACTGCAGGTAACCTCTAATAAAGACCAGGGAGGAATGAGTGAGCATGACTTGCATTATTGTTGTGTGGCAGAAGACAGAGCAGATATGGTGGTATCTTGTGAGTTATCATAATCTCATTAGCTCTTCAACTCATCTCCTGCCTTTTTGCCTACTTAATGAAGGCATCATTAGGAATTACAGATACTTATGTATGTGGGTGTGCATTTAAAACTGATAGAAGACAAAAAAATAATGAGCCATAAAACTATTCAAGAGAGCCAGAAAAGTGATAATTAATAGTCATAATAACCAAAAAATAAATAACCAAGGATAGTACATAGGAATTTTCCTACCTTTAGGAAAAACAAATTGTTCCATTTTTGCATTACTGTTAAGTACTGACAATGATGATCATTGAATAACTTCAGTTAATTTTAACATGGAAAACACACAAATGATTTGATTTGAAAGCATTTTCAAAACTACTTTCCTTATGATTTTTAATGTATTAAGTAAAACATTTCTACAAAAACACATTTCAGGATTCAGATTTCATTAGGTTATTAATGCTAACCTGATTAACAATAGTTCTACATGTGATCTTGATTTCTCCTAAAACCATCTGTTATTAGTTCTTATAATGTAATCTTGTCCATGAAAAGGAAACATAAACGCAAAGGTTACGGTCCCTATTAACTTTCCTATAAATCATACAAAGGCTTTTTTTTTGTAAATAAATATCTTTCTATTATCTAAGCAAAATATTAACTTTATTAGATCATGCAAATAAGTTTAACAAATGCAATTAGACAACACATTAAATTAATTAAAATTTACCTTCTTGTGGGTGGCTGTACCCAGGTCCTTGGTAGAAAATTCAAGTTGAATCCCCTCTTCACACAGCCAGGAAATAAAAGTTTGACTAATACCCAAGAGAAACTCTTTAAATCTCGTACCTCGTTAGCTTTGCTTCTTTGTCCAGAAACACATTCAAGTGTATTGGAATTGAAATTCTGCGTCTCTGTCAACTCTTTGGGGTCTGAAGTGACAGCGAGAATTTGGAGGTTGGCGCTGGGAGGATTTTAGATTGTCATAGTGTTTTTTTTTTTTTTTTAATTTTGTCGCAGATCCCTGCGGCTCCTCAGCAGGCAGGCTTCTCCTCCCCTCTCTCCTTTCCTCCCTCCGTCCCTCCTTTCCTCTTCTCGGAGAGCTCGGGAAGCTAACAGGCAGCACAAGCCCCTGGGACGGCGCTAATACTGCCGGAACACAGGGGGTTAACAATCCTTCCCTCAAGAGCTCGCTGGTTCCGGAGCCTCATAACTTGGCCTGAATAAAGGCACTTGGCTCTTTATGCATTTTTTTTTTCTTTTTCAAACAACTCTGAAAGGTTTTACAAGCAGAATCGTTTAAATTTATTTATTTATTTATTTTATTTTTATGATGTTGAAAAGAAACTCCATACGGTTTTTTGTTCCTCAAGGAAATTGGTGGTGGGGGTGGGTGTTAAGGCCGGGGAGAAGATGCATTGCGGCAGCTGCACTTTTACATTGCTTAATTGGAAACTGTTCTCATGAACACAGTCTGAACATTAGTAAGAGCAGAGTGCTTTAGGAGTTCTTTGAATGACCTTCAGAAATTTACAGATATATGAAGCATCACCACTTTCTATCAGATCACTTGTATGCTGAGAAAGGGAGCAGTTCATAGACTGTTAACAGCCCCCACACAATTCCTTACTAAAACCCCCATATGATTATTGGTCTACAGCAAGGATTGTATTTTCCTGTGAAATGGACTAGAGGTAGGTACTTATTTCTGTCTTGGCATCCAGATTGTTTATATAAGTGTCTAATCTCTCCTACTGTTACTTCTGCATTTATTACACATTATTATGTGTCAGACACCGTGTTAACAGTTTTTGTGCATTATTTCAGTGGCTCCTCACAAGTCTATATGAGGTGAGTATTAGCATTTCCCATCTGAGGGTGTCATTACATAGCAGTAAAGTCTGCCTCACAGCTTGGGTATGAATCTTGGCTTCATCCCTCCCTAACTCTATGATCTGGGACCTGTTATATAACCTGTCAAAGCACCAGCGTCCTTCTTTATTGGGGATATAAATACAGGGTTGATAATGGTATCCATCTCAGGTAATTGTTCTGATTTTTAAAATTGTTCTGAGTTTCAGTAAGTAAATGCAAATGCTAGAACACTGCCAGCCATGAGGCAGATACTCAAGAAGTGTTAGTTATTGTGGTGGCAAATGAGGAAATGAAAACTCAGTAAAGTTGAGGGATTCTTCTGGAGCCTCTAGTTTGAAACTTGCAGAGTAGGATTCCAACTCAGCTAACTTGACCAACTGTACTGCTTCTGATTCTCAGTCTCCAGGCTTACTAATACCTGGTTCTGAGCAAGCTGTCAGCTTCTTAAGGGTAGCGACATTTTCCCCTCACCCCCATGTGCCCAGAACAGTGATTTGTGTACTGAAAATACTCCATTAACATTAGCTAATGGTTTTGATATAATTTAATTCACATTTCTACATTTATGCCAAGGCAAATCCAAAGCAAAATAACAATAAAATCAATAACCACAAAAATAAACAAAAAGCCCACCTACCGTTCTAGGGAAATATGCCCTTAGACTATTGTCTTCAAACATGTTAGAAACGTTTGCCCTATTTATCCTTTAGAACACCAAGAGAAAGGTAAGGAGAATTATCTCTATTTTGCAGTTGGGGAAATTTGGGAGCAGAGGAAACTGGGCACTTTGCCTGGGAACCGAAAACAAGTCACAGTGCAGCTGGGAGCCGTCTCACATCTCTAGAATCAGGAGTGCTTGTTCCAAATCCCCTTTCCAGGCACAGGGTAGATGACGTGACATCCTTTGCCTCAGACAATGGGATGTTTTCCTTAGCCAAGGTCTAAAGTGTGTGCAGTCTCCTGAGATGTAACATCAAAGGCGTGGGCTATCTTTGACTGAACCTTGTCTCTGTCTTTGTGTACAGAGACACTTGGGTATCTGAGAAGTGTGAGACACATGTCCTGATACCTTAGCAGCTCCTGAGAGGCTTGGGCTTGGTAGACCACTGTGGGATAAGTAGGACAAGAATTTCTACAGTTTTTATCAGGGTTGGGAAAAAAAGATTTTCTTGGGAACCCAAAATGTTAACTTGTTATTCTAACAGCATTCCTCTTTCATTTGAGTTGGCTTTATGAAACTGACTTCAGATATTTTTATCAATTTAATGAGTGTGTCAAGAAAGTTTTAGTTAGAGGAGATTTGACCAACAAAATATTTTTTCTAATACTGAAATTAAAGTTTTGTTTCTACAGTTGACTAAAATAAAATTTCTTATAGAAACATATGCTAAAATTTAAAAATTGGTTCGAGTCAATGTAATCAGCTCTTTCATGTGAATATTTACTTCATCTGTTGATGGCAAAACTTGAGAATTTTGAGAGGTGTATTGGATGTTTTCTCTAGATCTTTTTAATCTGTCACACTATTAAAAAGATCAATTTGGG